ATTATTTAGACCAAAATTAGAATTTCTGTCAATTGCATTAAGGAGAGGCGATGTCAGGCATGACTATCTGCGTTTACCAAAAAGTATTTCTGCTATCTATGAAAACTTTTTCCTTATTCATGGCATAAAAATTTGGAATTCATTACCAGCTGATATTACAGTAATTGACAACTTTAAACATTTTAAATAAGCTTGTTTTAACTTCTTCTTGCAATCAATGTAATTACCATTATTCCTATGGCTTAACATGTTAGTGTTATCAATTAGTATCGCACAGAAAAAAAAATATTCTTGAATCAAGTATATAATTTTGAAGAACTTAATATTTTTTATTTAAGTAAAAAAATTCTTGATTTAAAGAAATTTTTCTTGATTTGAGGAAATTTTACTTGATTCAAGAATTTTTCTCTTGAATCAAGTTAATTTTTTTTTTCAGTGCGGTCTTTCAAATTGTATTGTAAACACTGTATCAAATATATACTTGTAAACTATTAGCTTTATGTATTGTTGATGGTCCTGAAGGAGCTTAGAACTCCAGGATCAAATAAAATTTTTTATCTATCTATCTATAAGCTGAAAAAAAGTATGTTGGTTAGCACTATATATACATACTGCTCGGAAGTATACATATACTAATTATCATATCGAATTATTATAAATTCACTTTACTGACATAATTTTATTTTTTAATAAATATTTAAATTAATAAAAATTGAAATCATGAGTGTAATAATAAATGTTAATTTTAAAGTTTTATCAAAAATTATAATTACTTATAACAAATTATTTAAATTTATTTTCTGAATACATATCCACAGATTCGGTAGAATCTGGCGCCAAGTTCCGTTCAAATCCGTTGTCAACGGAGCGCCAGACTACCAACTGTGTTTACTGTAAGCAGAACGGTATTTTGAGGTTGCAAAATTTTATTTAATTCTACGGTACTTTTTTTTCCTAAATTCTATATTATAACAGTAATTCATACTTTATTTTACTGTTATTAATTAATTATATTCACTTATAACAATTAATCTACTTGAAATTACTGAATTTGATCAGCACAAACTATAGCAACGCAAAAATTTCGATCCTGACTTTTTTTCGATGGGCAAAGTGATCTGCCACAGACTAAATAATTCGAGAATGCATAGTAATCCTTCATTAGATGGGAAACTACAGTTAAAAAAAGATATTTCACAGCTTGCATCTACACCCGCCAGGGTGCGCTGGAATTATTTTTACATAAACTGTAGCTTCAAGGGAATAGTTTGCTATAAAAAATGCAGCCAACGCGAGATTTAAGTTGGTACCAATTGTAAATTTTTATTATAATTACAAAAAATACTAATTACTCCAAGTAACCGATATGATTGTTTATGATTTTCGGAAATTAAAAAAAATTTTGTTGTAAATTTAAAAATTAAAAAAACAATTTTGGAACGTACTTGGTGTGCGTCACATTGTGTATTTCAATTTTTTTAAAGCCCTAGTAAATAGATTTTACGAATTTAATTAAAAGTAAAATATTTTGCAACCGCGCACACTAAATACGTTCCAAAAATTGTTTTTTTAATTTTTAAATTTACAACAAAATTTTTTTTAATTTCCGAAAATCATAAACAATCATATCGGTTACTTGGATTTTTCAATTTTTTTATTTTATATCTTTTTGTAAAGAAAAAACTAATTTTTTTTTCTTAATAGTCTTATGAACGTGGACTTGGCGCGATTTTTTTACAGTGAAACTTTTTTTATTCGGATTATAAATACAGTGGACATCACTATAAAGAAGACAACATATGCGGAAAAACTCGGAATTCACCATAGGATTACTGCTTAGAGTATATTAGATCTTAAACTAAATTGGGTATTGCTCTGAAAACTATATTGATATTTTGATAATCACAATACGTAATTTTACCATAAGAAAACTCTCTGGATAATACACTGCCCGAAGTTTCTAGCTTTACTTCCTTTTAAACTTCCATCGCGTAACCTTACATCTACAAACCCCTTCTATTTACCTCTAGTGAAATCGGCTCTGGCACAGGCATCACCACTGTGTAGACTTTCAGCAACTTGTAACCACATTGCCACCAATAACAATGATGAAGATATTGATCTTGATCTCTTTGGATATAACCAACCGCTCAATCCTAGCACTGATGTATCATTAATTATCAACCTTCGTAACACCAACGTTTAACTATTAATAAATGTCTAATTTATGCACTTTTAAGTTCTGGCTAACGAAAATAAGAAAGAAAATAAATTATAAATACGTCCTTTTTAGACATTTAAAAAGCATTGAAATGAAAATTTTGCCAAAATGCCAAAAAAAAAAAATTATAGATAAAATCTTAGAAAGTTTATTAATAAAAAACGACCATTATAAAAACATAAAAATACTAAAATTTTTTTGAACAATATAACGACGATGTAAAAATTCAGTAATAACTAAGAGTTAGTAGCCGAGGTCACCAAGGGAAATCTTTGGCACTACTACTTTATAAATATTAGATAAATTAAAAATTAAAAACAGTCGCTCTTGAAATCCTCGGTGGGCCACCGGTAAGTAAACGGACTAAGTAGAAGTACCAGTTGTATGAAAAAGGTAAAGAATATGCGGGTATTGAGAGAAAAGTTGATCGAGCAGAGCAAGACTGTACAGTAATGATTTTACAAGTCACGATGAGAGTTTTTTGTTTGCGTAGGACGAAAAGAGAGAACGTTCGCCGAAAAAAAAAAAAAGAAAGACGAGATTACAGAAGTATAGAGAGGTAAGTTGGGAGTGCGAGGTGATTCAAGGTGTAGCTGTGAGTGTGAGTAAGGGTAAGAGAAGATACGTTCAGAGTGAGAAGAATATCTATATATTTATGCACGTATGTATGGTCCCAGAGTCCCCGAGCCGATCCTGCCAAGTTATTTAAATTCAAATTCGAAATATCGTCGGGGGCTGCTAACATATTGTTTGTTTCGTTTGCGCCGTCGCGATAACTGAAGGGGGTGCCAGAAAAAGACGGGTGACCGAGGGCTATCAAGATCGAGTCAAAACTACATACAAAAGCTTTTCTCACCTTTTTTTTTTTTTAAGTGTCAAAATTCAAACAAAGTTTCCGATTATAGATTGTGAGATCATAAACAAATTTGAATCAGTTTGGGCCCGAAATATCTACACATATCAAAATGTATGTTCTACTCTTGATAGACTACATCAATTTTGCAACATAAAACCGTTCTAACATCCAAAGTTATCGTAAAGCTCACGGAAAGTCTTTCTGAATCAAAATTGTATACAATTTGATAAGATTCACTTTTAAACGATGCTAGACAGTACAAATAACGTAAAAAACCCAGCAATAATTTTTCCGTGCAATGCACTGCAATAATTTAATTTTCTAGGTATCTAATCGAATTTATTATCAAATAAATCATCGAGGTTGATTAAATTCGTCGATCATAAAAAATGCGACAAAGAAAGATTAGTATTCAATTAATAATAATGAAGGATGATGAAAAATTCTTGCTTTCTATTTATACGACCGCTGACCTATCTCAATAGAAATAAATATATATTTACATATCGAACCGTCGCTCATATCATTTCTTGGGTTATCAGTTACGTAACGAAGATAATATGTAATATTAATATTTCATACAGTTATAACACTTGTCAATTTGAAATTCCATCAATACTACAAATTTATGAAGAATAATTTGGCATGTAAATACTTTTTGACTATTAACTAAGTTTTTCTGATCGTACTGGAGGTTTTATCAAAAATCCGAACAAAAACAGTTTCACTGTAAAAAAATCGCGCCAAGTCCACGTTCATAAGACTATTAAGAAAAAAAAATTAGTTTTTTTCTTTACAAAAAGATATAAAATAAAAAAATTAAAAAACCCAAGTAACCGATATGATTGTTTATGAATTTCGGATATTAAAAAGAATTTTGCTGTAAATTTAAAAATTAAAAAAACAATTTTGAAACGTATTTAGTGTGCGCGGTTGCAAAATATTTTACTTTTAACTAAATTCGTAAAATCTATTTACTAGAACTTTAAAAAAATTGAAATGCACAATATGACGCACCAAGTACGTTCTAAAATTGTTTTTTTAATTTTTAAATTTACAAAAAAATTTTTTTTAATTTCCGAAAATCATAAACAATCATACCGGTTACTTGGATTTTTTAATTTTTTAATTTTATATCTTTTTGTAAAGAAAAAAACTAATTTTTCTCTTAATAGTCTTATGAACGTGGACTTGGCGCAATTTTTTTTACAGTGAAACTGTTTTTGTTCAGATTTTAGTATTTTTTGTAATTTCTTATGAACATGGACTTGGCGCGATTTTTTTACAGTGAAACTGTTTTTGTTCGGATTTTAGTATTTTTTGTAATTATAATAAAAATTTACAATTGGTACCAACTTAAATCTCGCGTTGGCTGTATTTTTTTACAGCAAACTATTCCCTTGAAGCTACAGTTTATGTAAAAATAATTCCAGCGCACCCTGGCGGGTATAGATGCAAGCTGTGAAATATCTTTTTTTAACTGTAGTTTTCCATCTAATGAAGGATTACTATGCATTCTCGAATTATTTAGTCTGTGGCAGATCACTTTGCCCATCGAAAAAAAGTCAGGATCGAAATTTTTGCGTTGCTATAGTTTGTGCTGATCAAATTCAGTAATTTCAAGTAGATTAATTGTTATAAGTGAATATAATTAATTAATAACAGTAAAATAAAGTATGAATTACTGTTATAATATAGAATTTAGGAAAAAAAAGTATCGTAGAATTAAATAAAATTTTGCAACCTCAAAATACCGTTCTGCTTACAGTAAACACAGTCGGTAGTCTGGCGCTCCGTTGACAACGGATTTGAACGGAACTTGGCGCCAGATTCTACCAAATCTGTGGATAAATAATCCAACAAAAATTTTTAAAATAACAAAATTGAATTTTTTGAATGTTTTATTGTATAAGTTATTAGAATTCAATCCAAATAGCCTTTTTCTTCCAGAAAAGGAATGAGCTTGGTTAATTTTTCGACAACTTCCGGCGTTGAATAGATATTGATCTCTTTCAATTGATTATCTAGAACGTCTTTTATAGTACCAATATCCTCAGCTTTAATCGCAACCTTAGGATAAAATACCAATCCGCTTATGAGACCTAAAGATCGTCGCTTCCACATTGACAATTTAAGCTCATCAAAAGTCGGCAGTTTTCGTCTGCAGTCAAGTTTTTCCATGGTATTTTTTAGAGTTTTCAAATATTTTTCCAAGAAGAAGTCATCTAATGTGTACTTGATATCGTATTGGGGACAAAGGCCAAATAAGTACAGTAAATCGATCGCTGGAGACGTCCAAACAGGCAATTGGAAATCAATCTAATTAAAATTTATTAATTAAAATTTAATAGTAATTTATGTCATATGACCGCAAAGTGGCGATTTTCTAACAACGCATCACAAACTTTAAAACGAATATCATAAAATCGTCGTTGTCAAAATCACCACTTAGTGGCCAAATGACATACAATATTTTTTGTTATTATCGCTCCATAAGTGCAATTTTTGAGGGATAGAAGGCAAATAATGACTTATTCAAATTTTATGAAGTTTAACAAGGGCAAAAAAATTTAATTTTATATTAATTATCTTTTTATTAATGTTGATTTATGGCATGGTAGTTATTTTATTAACATTAGGTCTGCTTCGTAATAAACTGCCAGCAGAGAAATAATTCGCGCCACTCAATAGTAACTAAGTTTAAATTTACTCAAAATCATCGGTCGGTATACTAGAATTTGATTTATTTCATTCTAAATTTCATCCGATTGCACGAGGACAGTACGGACAAAATGGGGGAAGTAAACTTTGCGGCCTAGACCGCGGAAAAAAGACGGTATGGTAGAGTCTCTCGAAATGAGTATCTTTTCGGACGCCACCCAGCGCTCAAAAGTTGAACTTTTGGAGCGAGTATAACAAAATAGATATTTATGTCATAAGGCCGTGAAGTGACGGTTTTCTGACAGCGACGATATTTCGATATGAGCTTAAGGTTTGTGGCGGGAAGGTACGAAACGGGCGTAATTTTAACGTCCGAGGCGTAGCTGAGGACGGAAATTTACGCTCGTTTTCGAACATTCGCCTCACAAACATTAAAGCGAATATCGAAAAAAAGTCGTTGTCAAAATCGCCACTAAACAGCCGAATGACATACAATATTTTTTGTTATTATCGCTCCATAAGTTTAACTTTTGAGGGATAGGAGGCAAATAATGACATATTTAAATTTTAGGAAGTTTCACAAAGGCAAAAAAGCTCAATTTTATATTAATAATCTTTTTATTAATTTTAAAATCTTGCTAACGTCCAGAAAATGTAAATAACTTTTCATTAGTATTTATTTATGGCGTTGTTGTTATTTTATTAACATTAGGTCCGCTTCGTAATAAACTGCCAGCAGAGAAATAATTAGCACCACTCAATAGTAACCAAGACTAAAAATTATCGGTCGGTACGCTAGAATGTGACTTTTTTCTTTACAATCTCTCTCAATTTCGTCTGGGTGTACATGAAAAGTTCGTAAAAAAAAGGAGGGGGTAAAACTTCTCGGCCTAGGCCGTGAAAAAAAGACGGTATGGTAGAGTCTCTAGAAAAGAGTCCCTTTACGGACGCCACCCAGCGCTCAGAAGTTGAACTTCTGGAGCGAGTATAACAAAAAAATATTTTGGTTCATTAATTAATAACTTACTAAACGAACTTCCAGTGGCTCATTCGCGTCATTTTCACGAAACATTATATTATTAATCCAACAATCACCGTGATTCAAAACACAAAATTCATCTTCGTCATAATCAATACTTTTTATGGAAGATTCTACGATGCTCTCAGAGATATTTTGAAGCTTATAACCGGCTTTAACGCACCTTGCATCTGGCCAACTAAGCATATTTTTTGCAAGGTCTTCAAGACTAGTCGCTAACATTCCTAAAAAATTCAGATGCGTTTGTCTACTGAATAAATTTTGACGGAACTGTTGAAGAAATCCGGGTTGCTGAAAAATTGTTTGATTTCAATGAATGAAGTAATTATTGATCAATCTTATTTGGTAGAAATCAAAAAAATATGAAGAAATAAAAATACCTTTTCTTCCAACACAATCGATCCTGCATGATATTTAGCAAGTGTTTCAATGACCATGCCTATATGATCTTTAGATAAACCTACCATTTGGTCTTTAATCTTAAACTGGAATTGACACAAATCCTCCATTATGATTGCAGAAGGTTCTTTTGATTGGTATATAAATTTAGGGCCAATTTTAACTCCAACTATTTGTTCAATTTTAGGCAAAACCTCGCTCAAAATTTGTGACTCTATATCGAAAACATCCATCTCGAACAACAACGCGTGAGTTTTATCTGGCAGTGGTTCTTTTATGAACAAATTAGCAGAATCTTTAATTGCGTTGGACGAACCATTTTTTGAAAGTAAATGTGTGTATTCTAAAGTTACAGCAAACAAATTGCTCAAAAAATTTTGACCCTTCTTGTCATTATGGAACTCTTTCACTACTTTAACATCAGTTATGCTATTATTTTTTAATCCCGAACGCAAAACTTTAAGGAAAAAGTCATTTTTATCAAAACTTTCGTGCTCCATTTTATTTCTATTGACACAAGGAATGTAGACAGACGGAACCGTGATAATTGTTAATAGATCTCTTTCGCGAATATGATTTTATATCGATAAGTTAAATAAATAAGCAGATAATCGAAGAATTCTACTTGCACTCAAAAAATAAAATAATATCAGTTCAATACATTTTAAAAATATGTCACGATAAATTAATTTTTAACAAATTCCATCTCTGTTACACGCAGCACTTAACGTTTTAAATAAATTGTGTTTAGTTAAGAATTAATAATATTTTTATAGTTGTCAAAATTAAATGGCTTGTGTGTATTGTTGTTTTTAAATATATTCAGCTGAACATAAATAAATAATATGGTTTATTTAAAAAACACGCTCTTAACTGTATGAAATCCACCACTTTTATAAATAAATTCAAGATCGTCTCGCTCGAATAGAAGTGACATAAAAACCTTATCTTCGTGCAATTAATTGATATGACAGTTTATACATTTTTACCCAGAAACTTTTAATCACGAATCAGCATTATAAATGAAAATATTGATTAATAAAACAATGTTGTGTTATCTGTTATGGGTAATTTATTGTGATAAATAAATCTTAATAACCTCGTTTATTTATCATGGTAATGAACGTTTATGTGCATATTATTTAAGTACTCAGAATAAAAAATAAATAGCGACCTACTTATTTGGGCAGAAAATTACCAATCATCATTGTTTGATAACATATTTTTGTTAAGTAACTATTTTTTGGGGCTCAATATAATAAATAATTTTAGGTATAAGAACTTCCATTAAATAATAGTGATCCTATTTATCAAGATTTTCTTAGTTTAAACAACTATATCTTTCTCTCAGTGTATCAAAATTAATTTCCAAATTCCTAAGAATACTAGCAGTTATTGATTTTTTCAAAAAATTATAAAAAACCTGGTTTAGATACAAATGATCAAATTCCTCCGAAATTCCCGTAGTGAATACTATAAATGATAAACATTTCAGATGAATCGGAAAATAGTTTCCATAGTGGTCGATTTCGTATAGAATGCTCTATATCGACATATATATGTGCGTGTGTGCTTCTGCGTCTAAAGAAGTGGTTTGTGGATGATGAGAAGAAACATTGTGCCCAAGTTGCCCTTGGGACGGTTTCCCCCGCCTTGCCAACAGCTGATTAATCGTTCTGGCCTCTCCCCCGGGAAACTAGTATAGTACCGAAAGACGACGACGCATCCACCTTATATTCTTTTCATTGTGACTTAGAATGAAATTTTATGCTGACTTTTCAAGGTTTGCTATTAAAAGATTAAAAATTTGCTGGTTCCTTTGCATAAATGCATGCGTTTAATTCGATGGTGTAATTACAATAATCAAGAAGCTCATTTACAACTACCCCTTAACAGAGTGATATAAAACAATCGATATAGTATATAATAATGAAAAATATGAGCATCAGAGATGATGAAATTTTTTAATATCTTAAAACCTGAGTATTCATTTTTTATTATGAATTTATTTTTTTCCCTCTGTCTATTCTGCGCGACATGAACAAAGAAAGTATCTCGAGTTGGTTTTGGTTCAGTTGTATGCATTTGTGTAGATTCTTTCGAAGAGTCATATTCTGCCGATGTTGAAGAGAAAAAATAAAAGACAGCAAGTAAAAGCTCCGTAGAAACAGAGTTAAATCCCTAGGTGGTGTGCAGAACGATGATTGAGCTCGCATTTTAATCAAAGAGAGCAGAAGTGAAAAATCTTACAGCACCATCGATGATAGGATTTTCTTCGCTTGATAAATCAAATTCCAAGCTACGTCAGTAATAACAGCAACAGCCACGATAATAATAAAAATTATATCATAAAGATTATATCACAAAAAGTGTACGACTCTTTCCACACTATAACTCAATCCGGTTCTTACAGGCTTGATGGAAAAGTTTTTTTTTTTTTGACAACAGTAAATTATGATTTTATTCACGTTAAGTTACCTCCCGAGTCGAAATTTAAGTCGTAGATTCAACGTATTGAACGTTCAAATCGTACATTCGACGTATTGAACGTTGAAAACGTAAGTTCAACGTATTGGACGTTGAAATCGTAATTTGAACGTATTGAACGTTAAAAACGTTAGTTGAACGTATTTAACGTATTGTGAGCGTAAATTGATTTTAAATTTTGCTGGTGCACCATTCATGCAAGTATATTTTACAAATTCATTCCACTGAAGTGAAAATTTTAATTATTAATGAAATTTTAGGTATATTGAAGCTTTATGCTTGAAAATCTAACTATAAGTCGGTCAATGAGCTCCTCAAATGTTCAAAATATTTTTGAAATGCAAATGAAAATCAATCTAATAGTTTTCAAAGATCTCAAAATATCGAGATTGAATGAGAATTTGGCTCTCAAAAATCAATCTTAATTTAATAACTTCCTTAATTCCAATCAACCGTAATTTTATTAGTTGATTAAATATGCAAGTAGCTAAAAATTAACTCAATCAAATCTTTGGGAAAAGCTTTTAAATAAATTTAGCCTATAGGTTATTTTTTACGGTTTGGTATATGACATTTGTAACTTTTAATTTTTACTACGGATCATATATTCTTCTTAAAACAGTTGAATCTATATTTTTTACGTTCAATACGTTCAAATTACGATTTCAACGTCCAATACGTTGAACTTACGTTTTCAACGTTCAATACGTCGAATTTACGGTTTAAACGTTCAATACGTTGAATCTACGACTTAAATTTTGACTCGGGCTGTCACAAGATTTTGTTTTATTTCTATGTTAAGTAATTGGTGTTAAACCAATTTTTGTGAGTTATTTTTTAAAATTTTAAGTACACCGGCAATTACACTGAAAAATACTATTTATTCAGGGCACATGTACTGGAAAAAAAAAAGTTAACTTGGATTAAGATAAAAATTCTTGAACCAAAAAAATAATTTTGAAGAGTTTCATTGTCTTGCATCTTCTATTACATACTCCTGCCAAGTTTATTGATTTTTTATTCCATAATTACTTGGTCAAAAAGCGTCCCAGTATTTTGTTCAAAATTTAAATATTTCCTGTTTTAAAAATTTTTCTACTTAAGTCAAAAAGATAAAGTTCTTTAAAATTATTTACTTGATTCAATTAATTTTTTTTTCTGTGTACACTGATTATGCAAATAAATTACCTATGGAAAAATTTTCTGAGGTGACGCTATATATGGACACAGGCCATATAAAAAAATTTCCCATATGTATTCGATACAACATATGAAACTTTTGAATGATTTAAAGTAAAAACTTAAAAAAAATACACAATATTTGTACATATATTCTTATGTGTAAGTGTGAATTCGTATGAGCATTGATGCACCATGGAACTGCTATCCATCATTTACCCACGTCCACGGAAGACTCGAAGCTATCATTTCACCAGTAATCCCGCGTCAATCCTAGGTTTATCTCTTGGGTCGGATGAGTCTTAAAACTTTAGTAAAATATAAGTTTTTACATTCTTCGGATGTGTTACGCATATTTGTTTTTATCCCTCTTTTTTAACAAGTATTTCAATAAATAGTTCTTATCTTTTGATGATATAAATGAAAATAAATTATTTTTTGTTTTCAGGTTTTCCTCATGTACATGATTAATGGTATTATTAACATATGTAGATATATTTTTTGGTTGAATTGAACAAGAAAAAAGGGGTTATTTTTTGTAGGTGTACGAACTACTCACACTATTATTCGGTGAAATCATATAGGCCCCAGTGGACTCGAGTTAACCGCACGGAGCTAAAATACTATTTCAGAAAAGAAAAATAAAAAATAGAAAAAACGAAGATGTTACTGTTGATGAATATTTTTTTATTCCTGTATTACCATGTCAAATGAAATTACACCTGCATTATACATGAAGGTGTGATATATAAAACCACCAAATAGTTCGTTGTTTGTTACAGATAAATTTTTTATACCCTCCATGCAATCTCAACGCAAAACAGAGTGAGCGGCATTGGATGCTGCAATTTCTGTCAAAAAAATGACAAATACCTCAACATTGATTGACACTGACAATAATTTACTCATGAGTTATGTTAGCATTCTTATATATTCTTTTTGGTTTGCACTCTCTGTTCTAGCTCTATCACACTCTCAATAATTGCGACGGGGGTTTTTTTCTACCCCCTTCTTCTCCCTAATACACGAATCTAGTTCTACTCCCAGCCAACAAATTGCAGCTATCCTCTAGGGAATCGCAAAGTTATGACCGGGACCGACAACTTTCTGACTCTGTAGTAATTATCTTTCTCCAGGGCTACTACCCTCTAATATAAGTGAACATCGTCTTTATTAAGTCAACCGATTGGCTTTGAATAAATTTTTTTTTTTTTTTAAATACTTTACATTCTTTACTAAATCACTCAATATGACTATTTTTATTTTTTGATTATGGAGAGTAAAAAAAAAATTATAAATTTATTACAAGGAGATTCAACTATTTTTCATGTTTTTTATAATAATAATGACAATAAAAATATTTTATAAGTTGAAATGTAAAAATTTTTAAGAACTATTTTCAATTTAAATCGTTATTTTCATAAATGATCATTTATAATCGTTATAATTAAAAGAAATTTAATAAATAATAAAAAAAATTATTTATAAAAATTATTCAAGACACTACGAAAAATATTTTCTCTACTCAATTTGTCCATTGTTGATATTAATGAAGTCTTCAAAATAAAATAAATATATGTACGTGTATATTTAAAAATTCCCGCATGGAGAAATATATATGTCAAAAATATATGTTGCATATATAATATATATGCCGCATATATTTACGCAAAAAAAAAATATGTCAACATATATTTTTCACATAGATGCTGACATATATTCGGATATATATGCTCAAATATATGTAGACATATATATGTAAGCATACACTGAAAAAAAAAATTTCTCAGTTTGAGAATTTTTTTACTCAAATCAAGAAAGTTAAATTCTTCAA